GGGTGTTTCCCCTCTCCCTTCCCATCCCAGGATTCCAGGGGGTGTTTCCCCTCTCCCTTCCCTCCCATCCCATCCCGAATCCCGCTCTCTCCGCAGTTCAAGCTCGTGATCTCCCAGGTCCTCCTGGCTGACTTCCTGCTCGCCTTGTCCGTGGATCGGATCCTGCAGTTCCTGCTGGGGAGCTCCAAGCTCCAAGTGCCTTCCTGAGGGGAATTCCCGACTCCAGAGCCGTGTCCTGCCCTCCCATCCCCGGCGTTCCCGGCGCGGGTTTTCCGCCCCCAAATCCACCTCTGGGAAAGGAAACGGCCGCAGCTTGGAGGTGGTTTGTTCTTTTTTCCAGGACGTGCCGGGAAATTTCTTTGGGGGGGGGGATGTGGGGGAAGTTCTCAAGGAAAATCCTCGAATTTTGATGGAAGATCCACAAATTTTCAAGGAAATACCTTAAATTTTCATGGAAAAAAAATCCTCAAATTTTCAAGGAGATCCCCTCAAATTTAAAGGAAAAACCCTCAAATCTCCAGGAAGCATTTGGGGAATTTGGGAACTAAAATCTCAAATCGAGGTGTTTTGAAAAGTGTTTGGGGCTGGAAAATTCCATGGAAAACCTGGGAATAAATGAGCCCCGAAGCGAGGTGGGAAAGGACATCCCAAAATCCTGGGAACACGCTGGAAAAGGTGATCTGGGGCCTAAAAGTCTGGGATAAACCCTCCCCAGGTGCCGCCCTGTGTTCCCAATCCATGCCAGGAATCCTTGGATAGGTAGAGAAACACGTTTATTTCCTCCTGGAGCAGCTCCAAGGCTCTGGAATTCCCTTTGGAATGTCGCCTGGAAGGGCTCAGGTGCCCGGGGGCAGCCGAGCCGCCGCCGTCCTTTCCACCACAAATCCATAATTGTACTGGGAACACGGGAAAAAAGGGGAGTGAGAACCCTTGGGAATGCACCCAGTGTTCCCAGCACTCCCCCAGCATTCCCAGTATTCCCAGAATTCCAGGGGTGTCACCTCCTGCTCGATGTCAGCGAGGGATTTCACCGTCAGGTCAGCCAGAATTGGCTAAAAAGAGGGGGGGAAATGTTCATTAATGGGATTAAAAGAGGGGAAATATTAATTAATTAGGGGCTGATTATTAATTAGGGGTAATTGATTATTAATTGGGGGGTAATTAATGAAATGAGGGCTGGAGGGACACTCACAGCGGGGCCAGAGCTGAGCTTGGGCTCGAATTTGGGGTGGAGGGCGAAGGGAACTCCGTCCATGGCTGGGAAAAGAGAGGGAAAAGAACCTTTCCAAGTTCCCAAAACACACAATTCATGGAAAAGAGGAGGGAAGGGGACACTTGGCATTGAGAGTGACGTCCAAATTCCAGGAAAAAAATTCCAGGAAAAATCCCAGCCTTCCCCAGGCACAGGGAGGGAGCTGGGAGCCAATTCCCAGGCTCCTCTTTAAGGGATCGTTCCTTAATCCCGGCATTCCAAGGAAAAGCTGTACCTGAGAGGCCGTAGATCCCGGAGGGGTCGGGCAGGGATTCGGGATGGGAGCGGCCTTTGGTGCTGGATGGAGGGGGGGGCCTGGGGGTTTGATGAGAGTCATTAATTAGGGTCATTAATTAGGGAATTAATTGCTCGGGAAGGAGCTCCAGCCCTTGGGAATGGACACCGGGATTGATTCCCAGTCCTGGGATGGGGCAGGTGGGGGCACCTGGGGGGGCTGGAACTGGGATGTACTGGGAGTGACTGGGTCTGGAACTGGGATGTACTGGGAGTAACTGGGTCTGGAACTGGGATGTACTGGGAGTAACTGGGGATGGAACTGGGATGTACTGGGAGTGACTGGGTCTGGAACTGGGATGTACTGGGAGTGACTGGGGCTGGAATTGGGATGTACTGGGAGTAACTGGGGATGGAACTGGGATGTACTGGGAGTAACTGGGGATGGAATTGGGATGTACTGGGAGTGACTGGGGGACTGGAATTGGGGGTCCCTGAGGGTGGTACCTGGGAGGCTGTACTGGGGTCTGTGAGGGGGTCCCTGTGGCTGTACCTGTGGGTCCGTGAGGGGGTCCCTGGGGGTCCCCGTGGCTGTATATGGGGGTTCCTGTGGCCATACCTGGGGGCTGTACTGGGGGTCCCCGTGGCTGTACTGGGGGGGTCCCCGTGGCCGTACCTGGGGGGCTGCAGCGAGAGCTGCTCCATCCCGGTGCTGAGCGGCCTCGGGCCGGGGCTGGGCCGGGGCCCCACCGGCCCCTTCTTGCACCAAATGGCGAAACCCCCCATTTCCCTGGAAAACAATCCCCCGAATTCCCGCGTTGGGGAGGGCGGGACACCAGGGAAAGGGGGGTCGGGGGCTGCGGGACCCCCCCCCGTACCCGATTTTGGTGTAGAGGGGCAGGACTTTGCCCTTGGAGCTGAGCTGCAGCTCCAGCACCGCCGCGGCCCCGCTCGGCTGCTCCAGCTTCA